CTCACCTTTCCCACCTCACCGTCTATAAGCTCAGTGTCTTTCCATGGAGTGTATCAAATGCCCAGACTGCCTCAGCCCGTCTCCTCCTGCTCTGCAATACCAGAGCCCCAGCAGATAGCCAGGACAGGCAGCACAGACAGGAAATCGCTCTTTCCTCTTTTTTTCTCCCCAAAAGAGAGCAGAGCCTTTCAGGAGAACATGCCTGATGGGATCTGCCGTGGTCTGCAGGGAGCAGATTATCGTTGATAGCTCTGTAGCTTCCCGCAGTGCTCAGATAAAACTTACTCAGTGCAATGTTCATTGCTTTCCACAGGCTTCTTTGTTCACCCATAATTCCTTCTGCAATTTTCTATCCAAACTGCCATCATCTGCACTTTTCTGCTCATTTACATGTACTTTCTTAAACACTTCTGCTGTATCTGGTCTTTATCTCATAAGCTACAGAGGCTTTATCTGCTGCTATGGGAAGGGCAGGTCGTTTCTGCAATGCTTGTTAAGACATGTTGAGGTAGGAAGCACCACAGCGAGCACGAAGATTCACAATGTACATGCACATACATCTGTATTTATGTGCACTGCCTGGTGTAAGCCAAGGCTTGGAGAGTGCCAGAAGAAAGAGACTGGGGACCACAGGTTCATGCTATCACAGTGCTGTCATTCCCACACACACCAACGGCGCACGTGCAGCCTGAAATCCCCTGTTTAGCAAGAGCCAACTTTCCAGAGCAATTGCAATATCATTTCTGGCTCCTGCTAAACTTCTCACAGATATAACTATGTGAGACGGGCACCTTACATTGAATCTATAGCACGGTTAGGGCTTTTTTGAACTTAAAGCTGCTTACGGCAGTGAGTTGACCTACACTGACCATAAACTTCGCAGGTCTTTTTAAACTGGACACGATGGGCTGTGCCATGAAAAACCCCACAGGATTCTGTCTGCTTTTTAAGGAACACGAAGCTCCAGCGCTCCAGCGGCTCAGTTCAGGTAAAACATGACAGAGGTGCGTTTGCTTCATTGCCTTTTCAAGCTGTTCTAGGACAAGGTCTTTCCAGTGAACCAATGACCCAGGATCACAGCTGGGATCTTCCCTCTCCAAGGCTGTCCTCCCGCTCTCGAGACCTGCTCCTGCTGAAGTCGGAGGCAGCAGCCTGACCAGAGTAACCTTAGACTCCGTGCTTCTGCCATAAAACCTTATGGGCTATAAATACCCCTCCGTAGTGGAGAGAATTCTCTTTTGACACATTATATATAATAGATGCGATATAAAAACGCACTGCTCTTGGCAGGCTTTCCAAGGCTTCCCTTCGGGAGCTCCGCACACGGGCTGGTGTTTGATGGGGCTTTTTCCCTACCCTGTAGCCAAAACTGCATTTCAGGGAAAGGCGGGGAGACGGCTCTCCCGGGAAGGAGCCTCTGTTCCTCTTACGGAGACACCGAAGAGGCTTCCTTCAGAGTTTCCAGACCTCCGAAGTGACCTCAGCTCCATGAGCTCACGGATGCGCTCGCCAGGGCTGAGCTAGGAAGGTGCGAACGTCAGCACTGGGTTTGTGCTGCTCTTGACTGCTTCTCATGCCAGGGTGAGGCTCTGTGCTCACTGGGCAGCCGGTGACCTTCAGCCCTGTGTCCCCATGGCACGTGCCTCTGAACAGAGCCTGGTTAAATGGGTCTGGTCTCCTGCTCCCACAGCAAAGCACCCAGGCTAGGCCAGACCTAGTGCCACACATCTGAGGCGGCGAGGCAATGAGCAAGGGCTTTGCTATCACCAGTGACATTGCCCCAGTCCAAAGCCAGTGAGACCCGCACAGAATCAAGCTACAAGTGATCCAAACCTAGTGGAAAGGTTTAGAAGAAACACTGGTGCTCTAAAGAGTCCAGACAGGGACTGGAGATGAGTGGATCTGTGGGCTCCAGGTGCATCCCAGCCTCACCACATTGCCTTCCCATGGCCCAGGCACGTAACCTGCCACTGCGGGCTCTCCAGCTAAAGCATCAAAAGACATACCTACCTCAGGAGTCCTGCTAGCTGTGCTGCTTCATGCACCCGAGTCTGTCCATGGCTTTATGAGCTGCTACAGGGATGTGGCAGAGCTGCTCAGCTGCGGAAAGCACCCTCCTGGGATGGGGATCAACACTTGTCTCTTAGCAGAAGGCTAACCAGAATAAAGAAATCAAAGTTCTCCTCTCACTCAAAGAAGGAACAAAGCATTGATGCCAACGTAATCATTCCTATTGCCCTCACAGAGACAACCCCAGTGTAGGTACCAGGGAATGCACCCGCTGGTGCTCACAGCGATGCTACAGGGTGAGTGGAAACAAGCGAATTTCAAGAGAAATGAACAGAGAAGGGGCAGGTGCTAAGTTAGAAAGCCCCAGCTATGACTACAAACAAACTGCAACCAGACAACGGAGAAGGCTCCACTTCCAAAGCGGAAAACGAGAGGTACGGGCACGAGAAGAACTGGTTTGTCATTCAGACATTTCACTGCTCAGGTTTAAACTGAATGCGAATCCTAAACCAAGCATCTGTGAAAGCTCCGAACCATCAACCATCAGCTGCTCCTTCCAGCCTCCTGCCACTTTGTGGCTGGAACAGAGTCAGAAGTGCTCAAAGACCATAAAGCAGACTCTGACCTCGGGTAGAAAGGTTACAACCAGCAGGGTCAGTGATCACAGTTGTTCTTTGCCCAGTCTTTCTAGGCACTTGGCAACATTTTGACTGTTCAACGCCAACAGAGGGTACCTCTCCCTTGGGACTTGCTCACTCAGCTCCTGATGCACAACGGGCAGTACACATCTTACTCTGAACCGGCAATGCCATGGGAAAACAGAATCCTCTCCTAGCCTCTTTGTCTCCATATAATTAAGTTCAATATGACAAAGCATCCAAGGGGGGAAGCATTATTGTGAGGCTCTCAAGAGCTGCAGTAACATTAATGTTCTAAAACTATTGATCACTCATCCCATCATTTATACTCCAGTACAAAAGCCCCTCACGTCCCCAGATGCACAAGAGGTGTCAAGAGTAAGAACCTTGAAAAATACATTGAAAAAGTTACAATGGCAAATGGCTTGTTTATGCCATAATTGGTATTAGGCAATTAATGGTGGGATGAAACATCACATTGCTTCTGCAAACAAAAAGCAATGCTGTTTAAAGAGCGTTTAATGAGCACGTTTTATGTTGTCCTCAGCAAGTTCACTGCCAAGCCACAAAAGACATTTATACACGCTCCCTTTTGTCTCTAATGAAAGGGTCATTGCTACCGGCCTCTTGTTAGATTCACCAGTTAAAAAAGGAAGACAGAAAAAAGCACAGATGTGATGCTTGAAACTTGAAATTCCCTCTTGAAGAAGCAGTTTCAGTTCAAAGCTCTTTGCTCGACAGGGACGTTCAGTGCTGTGCAGGCCATCACAATGAGAGGTGAACCAAATCAGAGCCAAACACCTCCAGGAGGAAATGGAGCTCCGTGACCACCTGCCCCAGAGATCCATTGTACACCTCCCGTACCCAGATACTCCAGATACTTGACATTCCCAAGTCTTCACTATTAATGAGGTGGGATCCTGAGCAACCAGGAAAAACAAAGGTGGAAATAATGTATTTATTTGCTAGGAATAAGTATTCCTCTGCGCAGATCAGGGCTGTTCCCCAGCCCGCAATGGAGGGGGATAGTGCCTAAATCACTTTAAACCAGAGCAATTACCTGATCTCCTGTTTCCCAAAACCCATTTTCTACATCTGTTTCTCTTACACATTTCAAACACCACCGCTCTCCATGGGCACATTTAGAAAGGCCCAGGCCAATGCACTGCACAGGAATTGGTGCTGCACTTCCAGCTATGTGAAATGGTGGTACAGACACCTCCGACACTTCCCTTGTAGGAGACCTGAGTCCTTTATTCCTTGCAAGTCCCCAGAGTAAGTCAGTGGCAGGGTTTTCCTCACGAGCCTTTTGTCTAGGTTTGAGATGAAATGACTTACAAACCTTCTCAAGAATATGGATTTCTGAAGCGTTGTGCCTGGGAAACACACACAGGAAGGAAGAATCTGAAAAAGCCTTAGAAAGTGGGGTATTCCCAGAACTAATTCATACACAGACTAAGAAACTAACAGAGTGTGCTAGGGAGATGCATCAAACACCACGTACGAAGTCTCGCAGAAACCTCAGCTCCTTTCTGATGAACGGCCTGTGTAAAGTAATAGCATTTTGATAATGAGCTGGGGATAACAAATTTATCCCCAGCTATGCCACGGTGCATTCTGCATTCCTACTGTCTGCACGCCTCAATGGTCTCTTTTTAGCCATCTCTGCAGTTTAAAAATGTGTGGTTTTAAAGAGCATATCCTGTTACACTGGAGACTGCAAAGTGAAAAGCCATGTCTTACTCTCACATAAGCACAAAAACATCTCTGGCATTCCTTCACTGAAATCCTTGGAGTTTTCTAGGGATTCGGTTTACAAGTTAAATGCAGAATATAATTTTCTGGGCAAGTTTATCAAGGCGAAGCATAACAGAGCTCCTGAACAAATACAAATCACAATGCATTATTTGACTTTTCCACTTGTGATTGGCTTGGGCTGCTTAAACCCATTATTTATCAGTTAAAGAGAAGCCTGATAACATCTGAGATACCAGTAAATTGTGGGAATTCAAGCTTCTCACGATGAAATGTACAGCAGAGGAAGTGACGGACAATTTGCAGCTGGTAAAAAGAGGTATCCTCTAATGACATACATCTGGCCTCCATTATCTCAGCATCTGCTGTACTGAAACCCAGCCTGCCTCACGAAACACAGTGGTATGCTGAGGAAAGGCACCATATCCCCTGGATTCTCTTCAACAGCTTAAAACCCACCCATCCCCTTTATCCACTGCTCACCGTTCCATTAAAGCAGCGAAAGGCACCCAGCGTCCTACCCATCACTCACATTTATCACACAGGGCTGAATTATTTTGGCTCTTTGATCTCCGATGATCAGACCAGGACCACGACTCAGCATGACTGACTTCCATTATCGTGGATTCGAAACAACTGCTTTGGAGCTCTGGTAGTGATCTAGCCAGCCTTTAAGCAAGCCCTTAAATCTCTAAAGAAAAAGGATCCCTATTTTAATTGGCAAATATGGGGGTTTCTACGTCTTTGTTGTCACTGTTCATTTGTACTATTTGCAGTGGGGTCCCACCTCAAATCAGTGCGGTAAGAGTTAAATCACTGCCACCTACAAGACCTCTTTGTGAAGCCTGGATGAAGGCACCCGAGCAAGGGAGATGCACATAGTAGGGTGAGACACATCCACTGCAAAGCTACCAATAGCCACGGCCTGTGTGCACCCAGAATTGAGCCGGCCGGCCAATGACATGCACAGTGATGTGCAAGGCAAAACTCAACAGCAATGACAGTATCCTAAATGACAGGCTTTTCAGCTCGGGGTCCAGCATCAAGGGAAAGCAAACCAACACGATGTTACTTCAGAGAGCAGCTAAAGGCCAGCAGCCCCAGTGTCTAGCCTGTGAGAGACGGTCCATGGAGGAGAATGGAGTTTGGTGGGACTTCTTGGCATCACCATGCGGGGCCGCCTGCTGCTCTGGGGTTGAGTGGAGGGCTTCCAGATTCAACTGAGGGTTTATTAGCTTGGGGAGGCAGAAGACAGACAGTTAATATGCATTCACATACAGCAAACTAAAAACACCTGCTGGCCTTCCAATACGCTTCTTGGCTGGTTTATGGAGACAGAGGGTCTAAGCCCTTCATATTCCCATTTTAAAGGGGTTACAAAGGCCCCACGAACACTGAATTATGCAAAGACAAACTGTCTGCAGAGCTATATACAGCACGTGTCTGTGTGTGCACGCGGAGCCACTTGGCTTTGGTGAAGTGTGAGTCTGGGTGTGCCAGAAGGGTCTGCGTGCTCGTGTATGGCCAGGATGATAAAGAAAATAGGGAAATAGTCACTGCGCTGCAAATCACTTCCATGTTTCCAATGAGGGAGCTGTTAAAATGCAATATATGTTCTTAAATACTAGCTGGTGGTATTAATATGCTATAAGCCATGTATATACTGTTATATCCTACTGTTCACAAACCTCCATACACAAATATACGCACAACAGGATGGATTCCCATTTTCCAAAATGCCGTTTTTCACCTGAAGTTTGTAACCTATTTCACAGTAAAAAGCAGCTGTAACAAATGCCTTTGCTGGCTCTGCCACCCTTAATCTGCTTGTGGGGGATGTCAGCGGGAGATTTCCCTCCCCTCTGTTATCAACCAACTTAGGCGGGTTAAGGCAGCACAGAAGAACAAGCTTATGGCCCAGGAAAAGACCTGCATTGCACAAGAGGAATGCACAAGCACTTGAACTTGGATCAAGGATGTACAGAAAGTGTCCTCCCTTCCTCTGATAACTCTCATTAACTAAACCTCTGGAGCAGGAATCCTCTGAGCACCTTCCTGGGAAGAGGAGCATCTGTAATGACTGGAATCTCAACGTAGGCTTTCCTGAATTATCACACAAGTTCTACAGTAGCGCTGAGAGCAAAGGAGAGGAAACAGACTGAAACACAACAAATGAAGCAAGAAATGAAAGGCAAACCTGCAGCTGAGGTGGAGATAAGGGCTTTCAGAGGCTGGTTAAAAGATGTTATCACCTGCTAGAGAACTCTGCTGTACAAAAACGCTTTGGAGAAGGCAGCACATAATGAGTAAGAAAATATTTTCTCCAACCTTTCCAAACCCAGAAATTGGAAGCACAACATTCCGATGATTTATTACAGACCGTGCTATGTATGCAAGCAGGCATTAATCCTGAAAATCCCAGGAAGGTTTCACAGCAGTGCTTATCTTTTCTGCGTTGGCCTCCGCTCCTCATTTCACTCACTAAATCCCCTGTTTTGGTTGGAACCCGTTCCCTTGTGCCTATGGCCAGTGTGGATCCCGCACCGCCAGTTTCCACGAGATCCCCAGGAAACAAGGGAAGATTAGGTTAACAGTTGGACTCGAGGATCTGAAAGGTCTTTTCCAACCTAAACAATTCCATGACTGTTACAGGTCCTGAGCATTAAGCCGTCCTGGGTCACTTCTCTTCCATTACACACAACAGCCAAACGCAAAGGGGCGAGTGGCCAAGCACAAGCAGACAGAAGCGGCACACCTCAGCCATGCCCCCGAAACGGTCCTTCCATAGGCTGGACCGCTCTGTGGTTTGTTATCAGTCTGTCTTTTCGAGGAAGCAGCCAGCTGGGTGAGCAGCTGGAAGCTTGGATGGCCCTTGGCTACCAGACCTGGGGGATGATCTCGTCCTCTCCAGTAACGGTCCAAGGATTCAGCATTAATTCAGTCTACTTGGCACTCAGGTATCCGGTTCTTCCTATTGCCAATTACACGATGGGATCCCAGTGCTCCTTTGTGAGACTGGAGTATTTTTCATCGCTTGGAAAACAGTCTGCTCCCCTATATAAATATCCCCTGTCTCAGCTCCGGGCTCTGTTACTTTCAACAGATAGTTTAGGAGAAGAAAATGCTTAGGGTAGGCTACCCTGCTCCCTAAATGTAAAGCTCTTTGGAGCCCTGTCAGCTCCGAGAGCTGCCTTGCAAACACAACCCCCCTTTTTAATTGGTCACAGCCGGCTGCAGACATTCCCGGAAATCCTTGCAGGGAGATTAGCGCGGAGCCGACCTTCTGCCATGGTGCTGGCACTGCAGTAATGAAGGATTTGATCACGGGAGGTGCTGAGGAGTTTCAGTCCTCACCAAAGGGAAACAAACCCCATGCGTCACTTTGAAGCACTTCACAGGGCTTGGCCCAAGGTAGGAATCCCTCAGAACAGGGTGGAGATGTGGTCTTCTCTGCATGGCACAATAGAAATCCCCTTTCAAGCTTTTCTTACCCCTGACAGACCTTAATGTGGCAGCAGTAAAGATCTACATGGAAATTTCAAACCCATGCAACGTCAGCGAGAGGATTCCTCTCTCATTTGTTTGCCAAAACCTGAGCAAAGAGCTGCAAGTCGTCTCAAGAACTTAAGCCATACATTTTTCTTGCACTGAACACAATCACCTCTTTTAAATTATAATGAAATCCTTAATTCTTGAGTTCAACCCAAGGAAAGCTTGAAGAGGACAAGAAAGCCATGTTTCAAATCCAGTAAGGCCCTGAAGACTTTAGTCTCTTTTTCACCCACTATCATATTCCTTTAAACAAGCATGTCAGTAGTATTTTGCATGTGCATACACTACATCACTCATAGATGATGCTGGACAAAGCTGGACCACTTTAAACGTGAGAGCGTACATGCAGAGGGCTGTTCACTGTACTCCAGTTAACCTCTGGAAACTCAAATCATATGAACTGTGAAGTTATTCATAGAGTAATTGCCCTGCATTTACGTCCAGGTTTCTATCCAGAGATCGTGCCAGGAAGCTTGCAATGAGCACTGTGTTGTGCGTCCTGGTGAGGGATCCTGGGCCCCCGGTTTCCCAAAGGATGGAAGTCCAAGGAAACTCACTTCGCAGGTACTACCCCAGCTATTCCTCCAGCTTCAGCACCCTTCCTCTTCCTTTAAAGACTTGCTTCACAAAAGACTCCTTCTTTTTAACTGAATAAGCCCCTGCATACCCTTGGCTTGTTTCCTCTCACCGACTTCTTCAAAGAGTTCAGCGCTACCTGTTTGCCAGCTATTAAATACCTCGTGTTTGGCTGATGGACAAGCAGATAGCACAGGACGAAGCAGAGCTCTGCACAAGCTGCTCTTGTTCCACTGCCTTCCTGAGCCAAAAAGAGGGAAAATCCCAGCAGGCAGAGCTGCACGGCAGAACCATGGACTAGCAGAAATGTCTGGGCTCAGGCTCTTCTCCCCTCCACAGCAGAAGGTTAAGCCTTTGCATCAGGAGACTGCTTATAAAAGTATCCAGACTTGTTGGCTGTTGGAGAAACACTCAGCTTAATTTAGCCCTGGTAATGTTAAATGTGTATTCTCTCCAATAAACTGACACCCGAAGAACCATTGCCACTATTTCATCCCACAAACGGGCTTTAAATCGGCCTTGTGAACTTTAAATCCATGCAACACCAACACAATATCTTGCTATTGTCATTCTGGAATCAGCACTGGGATCTCCCTGGTCCAGGGAAGTCACCTGAGCCCAGCCAAGCATTGTCACCCATTCATGCTCTCTGGGGGCATCTTTCCAACTTGGAAAGAGGCTCCTGGGACTAAGTCTACAAGGTGTTCTCCTTTTCCCCTTTGCTTCCAAAGACAAAACCTTTCCCATTCCAACTCTGTGTGCTCTGCAGGCCTGTGTCTCTCTTTGGATACCACCTCTAGCCCCAAGGCTGCTGCAAACCCCTCTCTCCCACGCCTCCACCCAAGCAGCCCATGCCCTAACACACTGCAGAGGCTTCAACTGAACAGCTCCAGAGATCAGCAGGAGAAATAGGGTCGTTAGTCAATCAAACAACACGGAGGGCATGTCAGATGCTTGTGTAAATGAGGGCAGCGCTAGGAAAGAAAGGGGCAATAATGGTCTCCTGAAGCGGTGACAAAGCCATTTCAGCTGCCCTTGCAAAAGCAGACACTAATCACGGGCCCTGCTTGCTTACAGTTGACCTCTCCTTTGTGCACAGCTAAAGAAGCCCGGGGCTGGCCGAGCCTTCAAAACGCAGCCGGGCTAATTAGGAAGGGTCCTGTCCCTGCAGCAGCATTCCCACAGGGAGCCCCAAGTCTGAGTGTTGCTGAGAGGATCCACTCCACCAGGAAAGGGTCAGTAAGCAAAGGCTGAAGCCGAGCAGCTGATCTGCAGCACGAGAGGCAGGCAAGTAACAACAAGCTTTATGCTCCCCATCCCTGCCGTGAACGTTCCAACCCCCGGTGAGTGAGGTCTCGGGCAGCACCGGAGCTGCTCCGCTGCTTGGGGATGCCGAGTTCACCTCACCCGGACCCCGAAGCCTCGGGTGGTCTGAGGGTCCTTTGGGAGGGCTTGGAGCAGAGCCCAGGCTCCCAGCACCCCCTCCCTCCCGGCAACCAGCCCTCTGCAGAAAGGTCATTTACATCCAAGCTCAAAGAGGGGAGCTCCAAAAGACAGCCTCAGCCCAAACCAAACCTCAAACACTCCATTTACAACCCTTTCATCTACCAGACATGGAAGATAACCAAGGAGTCTGGGACAACCCAGCTGCTCCCTCCGTTCCGAAGCAGTCTCTCCAGTCACTATAACATTGCTCAGCTCAACCTCCTCTTTTGTACTCCACTTATGGCAGGTTGGCAATACCACATTTTAGGGGGGGGATAAATCCCAACAGTGACAGCACTTTACTGGATCAAAAAGGCACCGAGAGGCAGCAGAAAAGGTGCTGAAACTGGGATGGGTAAACAAGATGTAGTGCAGACCTTCCTGAAAGAGCTCTCGTGGCCCTATCGAGAGGTTCGCCTTCAGAGTGAGAGGATTTAATGCAGATGGACAGTGCTCAAACACTACCACTTCCAGCAGCTAGGGAGCTCAGGAAGGACAACGTCTCACCCCTGAGAGCCAGACTGATGGGGTTCCGCCTGCTCTCCAGCCAGGGTAAGGACAGGATTGCTGCTGCTCTAGGCTGGCCAGTAAAAATATCCCATGCTGAAAGGTATGATAAGAGCCTGGCCAGAACAGAGAACGTCCTGCCTTTAAAACAGACACATCCCTATTTCCTCCAGGAAAGAAAAGGTGATACCATTAAGATCAGACACTGAGATTTCTGGAATGACACTAAAGAATATCACCATGGAGCAACTCAGCATTCCCTCTGGGTTATTTTCACACTGTTTATTAAACAGCCTCTTTATCAAAGAGCCCCAGTTCAGCCCAGGAAATGCTGCACAACTGTCCTGGGGAGCTGTTTCTCAAGAAGGCATCACCATCTCCAATACCAGGACAGCTTTTTAGAGGTGGCAGGTGAGGAAAAGCCTCCCATCCTTAAGACCCAGCACAAATGCTGGCTGGCACCACAGAAGTTAACCACCCTGAGTCCTTTGAGCAGTGAAGGAGAAGACGGGAATAGAGACAAGTAGGTTTCCTCCAGGAACGTGTTGAAAAAGTATTTACCAAGAAAAATCATTTACAGGAGTCAGTGAGAAAGGAAGCGGAAGGGAAGGATGAGTTTGTGGCAGGGATCTTCCCGTATCCTCCATCATCACATTCCCTGTGGCAAGGACTGTGGCTTTTGGGAAATGCTATAAATAATGGAAAGCATTGCAGCGGGTTGGACTAGATGAGCTTTGAAGGTCCCTTCCAACCCAAACTCCTCTATGGGTCTAAGACCTCGCCCTCTCATAACACAGTGGCAGGATGCACATGCTCCCTGAGCTGCTGAGCTCGCGTGGTGACCTTCCCACCCTCTGTCCTGGTCACTCTGGGGCTGGGTTTTTTCTGAGCGTGTGTGCAGCGCAGGGAGCCCTGCCAGCTCTCAGGGGCTGTTTGCTATAGACTCTCATGTTACCAGATCAGAACATCTGTGAACCACCAAACACGGGAAGCACAAGCACCTCCGGAAGAGCATTTGGATATCACATGAAGGTTAATTAAATAAAGCTTAGCCGCCCCAAAATGAAGCCTAAGCAGGATATCACTGATCCAGTTGTGGCAGCCCATCGCCACGCTCCCCCAGGCTGAGCTTCACTCCACAGGCCACGACCCCGGGGTTTCTTTGTTTGACCCAACTTTAATCAGCTTCCTTCTCCGATTCCAGCAAATCCCACTGCTGATGGCAGCCAGGAATAAAGGCTATTGTACAGCGCAGGGCTATGCTTCACAGCAAGTCACGATAAGCATTTCCTTTCCAAACATCCAAGTTCCCCAAACGTTACAAACAGTGGCCAAAACCAGGAGAGAGCGGATTACTGGAGTTCTGCAGGTAAAACAGCGGCCAGGGGCATCCCTTGTCTTTACCCTCTCCCCTTCCACCTGAAAATGAAAGGAAGAACACGCAAAGGCTCCTTACCGTACTGACAGCGGGGTCCTTGGAAGCCAGAGGAGCAATGGCAGAGCTGTGATGATCCCTCTGCGCAGTTCCCACCATTGAAACAAACCCCGTAACCACAGGCAGCTGCAGAGATGAGGGATACAAGAATTCCCGAGATCAGGATGGGAAGTGCACAGGCACTAATAAACACCCACTCCCTGATGAAGTTCCCACTCAAAATTCAAAGCACAGGAGGTAAAATACCTTGGGCAATGTCTAAGGGTTTTTTACAGTGCAGCTATGTGAGGATTAGCAGGAAATCAGCAGCAGAGCTGCAGGACTGTTGATGGAACAACACTTTTCCAGCCAAGAAGTGGGCATAATAGTCAGAAAATGGCTTGTGCAGAATCATATCAGGTAAAGAAGTTATTTATTTTGAAATGGGATATACCTGTCAGGAATAACCCCTGGAAGGTGCTTCCCACCTCTCCTCTGAGCTTTCCCAGTGACCCAAAAGCAGCGTCACCTTCCGAAGGGGTGAGGGATGAAATAGAGCTAAACTGTACGGAAGCCTGAGCAGCCACGTTTCTCTGTTCTCACCAAGTGAAGTGTAAAATGTACACAGAGACAGAGAATGCCCAATTAGGCTTCTGAAATCCACCTTTTGAAATCGCCCAAACAAAACCACAAACAAGGGTGTGTTTTTCCAGTGAAACGTCTATTTCCCATAACTCACACAACACAGACAATGGTTTCAATTTCCACTAGAAAATGATCATCTTGGAAGGAGAAACACTGTGAACAAGCGATGCTGTCACATGTGCCGTGCTTTGTCAAAGTGTACGGACACAGAACAAGCTCCTGTCGATGGGGAGCAAAAAGAGCTTCACCTGTCAACATGGTGCAAGAGATCTCATGGTATCATCCAGCATTTCTCAGTGGGAGCTGGTCCAGCAGCCCAGGCTGGATTGCAGACACCTCTGGTCCAAGAGCAGCAATGGGGACCGATGGATTACAGCTTAAGCATCCTGGCAAGGAATATGCCGCAACTGCCGACAGCATCACGGTCACCTGCATGTTACTGGGGCCCTTGTGTCCTATTGACCCAGCTGATGGATCCAGAGAACATAATTATTTCAAGTAGCTGGGATTACAAAAGACAGACCAGGCAATCCAAAACCTGTTGGCTCAGAAACACAGATTGAGGAGGAGAAGCACAGAGCAAGCACTGATGGAGCCACCAGTTATGGTGACTGAAGATGCTGCTGCCCTGCACAGAGCAACCTGCCAGCAGAGTAAGTGAACCATCAACCTGCAAACACATGCTGCATCCTTAGGAAAGCATCCTCTGCTGAAGCAGAGATGAGATTTGGCTTTGGCTTTAGTGGAAATAATATGGGGAAAGATGACAGCAAGGTTTGTCTCCTGCTAGGAGAGTCAGGGTTATCCCAGTCCCAAGGCACACACTACTGGGAGCCAAAGTCCTCAAACTTTGCACCTTAGATGCACTATAGCTGAAATATTCGAGCCTCAGCTTTGGCTCCTTTAAGGACCTGATGATTCTTCAAATCCTGCCTCCAAAATAAAAGGATTATTTAGTAATACAAAGGTAGCATTGAAACCCAAATACTCACCTCCCTAAACTAATGAAACAGTGATGAAATGTTGGTTCAGAAACTTGCTATCTTCTCATCTAATGTTTTAGTTGCTCTTCATAGCCACATATCCCTGGGGACCACGGTGATCCCGTCTCAACCCCGTGCTGGGCTGCTGGTACAGAACACTGGAACCTGGGAATCTCTTTCCCAAGCATCCTGCCCAGCTGAGCCATGCATGTGATGATCACAAACCCTTCCCTGTGCCTGTCCTCCCACATGGCAAAGCAGAAGGAGCTCTGGGCAGTGACTGTTTCATTGCAACTTCCCATCTCCAGATGTGCACCAGGATTTGCTGGAGCTGCAGCCTCACGTGTGGCTGGCTGTAGGCTTGCAAGAAGGGCTGGCTTCTGCTTTATGCCTTTTCTTCAGGCCCAAACACTGTTAGACAGAATTGGCTCTGTGACCAAATTGCATGGTGAATTGATTTGGTTTTCCCTGCCTACTTCACCTTGATCCCCTAAGAACCAGGTTTTAGGCAGGGGCCCAGTGAAGCTCAGCCTGTCTCCAGCCCTGTGTGCCAGCATCACTCAGCCCTCTGAAGCAGTTCAGTGAAACCCAAAGCACAACAATGGAAAATATGAGGAGCAATTGCAGCAACACAAACCAGGGATTAGAAGATACGGGTGTTATTCTTGGCTGTGCCCCAGAATTCCTGAATGAGCCGGACAATTCCCTGCTCTGTGTTTCAGGCTGGCACAGCCAGAGTGGAAATCACAACAACCCGCTTCCCAGCCCAGGGGGCCCGGGGGCCTGCGAGGCTCCCTCTCTCGTGTCCTCCAAGCCTTCTGCAAATCAGCTCCTAATTCAGAGCGACAGAATTTAATGGAAAGAAATTTGGGAATAGAGTAATGGCACTGTTGTGGGAAACAGGGAAGACAGGATAAATTACAGAAAGCATGGCCGCCTTCTGCTTGAAAGGCCAGACAGCATCTTTGGTGCGGAGTTAGCAAGGTGGGGTTCTTGGGAAGACAAGAGATTGATTTAAAAGGAAGAGTGATGAGGAAAAGCACTTTTCCTTCAGCACATGGGCTCCCTGAGGTACAATGTGGCCATCCTCCGCGTGGACAAAGACGGTCTCCTAGGGGAGCCCACGGTGGGAGTCCAACCAACACCGAGGTTCAGAAGTTCAGGCAAAGCCTTTCAGCTGACAAAACAATGAGCCTCCAGGAGCCAAGAGGTGAGACACAAAGGGAAGCCCTAATAGGGAAATCAGAGCAGAGCCTGATCTGAACAAAACCTCCAATTAACGACAACCAGGAAGGGTGACTGAAGCCTTAGACCAGCAGCTCAAACCGAGCTTCTCCATGGAGGCACCAAAAGAGCAAACCACGCTGCTGGCAGAAGCAGCTATCCAGCCACACAACGGCCAAGCTGCTTCTTGGCCAGCCTCTGCTCACTTGGGCTGCTCCATTTCCTTCAGCCTGCTCATCAGAACTGGGCTTGGGCATTCCCACCCATCGCTGCAGACATAGTGAAAGGAGAGGCCACAAGGATTGCCAGACATGCAGGCCCCTCATCCTAATCAGCAAGGGCTTTAACTGCATTATTGAACCCATGTGGAATTTAAGTAGCATCTCAGAGGCCACTTGAAACCGAGAAGCTTACTCTGGAAGTCAATCTATCAGTAATCAAGCAGGGAAAGAACCTGATGCCATGCTAAAAATGCAGAGGGTGTCTTGACTTCTGACCTTTTTCATTCCCAAAAGGACTGAGAGGATGAATGCTCCAGGAGAGAAGGCAATGGAAGCGCAATAAGCCCTCATGCTCCTACCAGAAGGCTCAGCTGCCCTTGACCAGCTACACACAAGTCTACAGTGGTGAAAATTTCCCCTAAGAACACATCAGATGGGTTGATTTCTCAGTATTTTAATGGAAAGTGATGAACAGGCCAGCATTTGGGGCGAGGAGAGCGCTGCAGTGATGGGATGCCAGCCTCCGAGGGAAGGCAAGATAAGATGTCCTTGCTGGAGCGATTCCATCGTGTGGCCTCCGACAGCTCTAATTAAACTGTCAGCAGCAACAGCCTTCCCCACCTTTGTGCTCCTGGAACACGATCAATGATCTCTGGAGACAGATAGGAAGGGCCACAAATCCTGCTGACATATTTTGGCACAGCTTCGCTGCGTTCAGCTCAGCTACACCAGTGATCACAGGCTGCCTGGCGATTGCTGTGTGCAGAGCAGAAAACCCTCTAACACACATCATGCCCTGGCTGTTTCCCTGCCTCAGCACTACACTAATACTTAGTGACTCATTTCCCTGGCCAGTCCTTCCTACACCTTCTTCTGGCCCAGAAGAACAAGCTGGTCAAGGCCACAGCAGGAAAAGTCATCACACCCCTGCAACCCGAAAGCTGGGAGCTCCTCGGGATGAGGGCTCAGTTATGAAGAAACCAGAAGCATTCCTTAGGAGAGTCTGAAGATCAGGATAGAAACTCCTGCATAGGCACCAGCCAGGCAGAGCCACCCCCTGGGCTCGGTCCAGGCTGTGGGATGCTCCTCCAGCTACGCTAGACCAGCGTTGTCACGCTGCGCCATGGCACAGGATGCATCCCTGTCCTTCCTCCTGAAATACCATTTAACTGATCACATCACCCACATTCTCGCTTTGAAGTATAAGGCTGAATGGGGGGAAGCAAGGGAAAAGCTAGGACTTTGCAACCTGGCCTTCAGCTTACTCTCCAGCTGCAAAACATCCACTAGTTTTCCTGCTCTTGGGAATAATACACAGCAAACGTGTAAACAAGACCCATTTAAAAGAGAGCAGCAGGAACTACCGACGGAAGCACGACAAGAAAATAAACACCAGCAGCACATCAGCAGCGAGTGTGACATTAACTGGGAGTCTCAAAGAGCTGCACCTCCCTCTTTTCTAGTCTTCCTCTTTCTATTCTGACCCTGCAGCCAGCAGCCTGTGGAGACCATTGTCCAGCTTCCGAGTGCTGGTCCCAGTGATGAGGATGATGAGTTAAGAGCGTGCCCTGAGCAGCTTCATTTCCTTTTCCCTGCTTCCTTCCTGGATGGAATTACTCACTTCCTCAGCAGGAAAAACCATCACAGCCCGCACTGGTCTGAGTTCATTTGAGGTGGTTATCCGTGCGCCGACAGCGGGTTATTGAGCACCCATGGAGCTTCCTCCGGCACAGTGGGGTTGCTCTCCTGTGCTGCAGGCTTTTGAACAGGAAGAATAAAGATTGGCTGCTAGACACACCTTTTTCTTCTTGCCTTTCAAACCTTTGCTTCAAGCATCACAGCACACAGAAGGCATACGCAGCTTCTCTATGGAACAAAAGGTGACTACCTGTGGGAGACATTTTCCTACATTGTGGCTCAATTACAACCTAAATCACCTTTACAATGGAGCTGGCCACAGCAGCTTTCATCCCCTTGCTGGCAAGGCAGGTTGGATCCCAAACCCTTTGTTGGCTTGCCTGCCTATTACTTAAAAAGAAGCTGCTTTTCTATGGTGCAGGCAGGAGCACACCTCCAATAGCACAGTTCAGAAAGGATCAGAGCTCTAGTATGCAGCCAGGCAGAGAATTAATAACACAGCGCAGGGAGCCTGGGTGATTCTGCCTTGATGGCGACATTTATTCCTACACACATGCTCAGATAAGCCTTTGTTTGATTCAAGAGAAGATTTTACTTTGCTCTCCACACCTCAGAAGCAAAGACCAGTATATCCCCAGCAGGACGCAGCTGATGGGATGCCTCAACATCCCTTGCTGGGTCCCACAGGGACCAAATGCCCACCTTTGGCTATGGAGGGAGCAGGTGATGGGGGGGACAAGGCGGGTCTCAAGTTCAGTGAGTATTCAAGTAACAGTTATAGCACCCGACACCCCCCCCCCCCCCCTTCCCAAAGTAGCTGAGGAGCCTCATCCCAGTCAGTTGAGAGGTGAATCCCACTCTCACCCACGGTTTGGAGTGGGAATGGCCAGGGAGCAGGCTCCAATGAGGAACCACTGGCCAAAATCCAGTCCTTTGGGAGTGCAGCCCTGAGGCCAAATTCCCCAGCAATTGGCCAAAGGCTGCCTTTTCCAAGGAAGCATCTCTAATGAAGGCCGAGTAAAACCAACCAGCCGGCACATCATCCGTCACTGGCACGCTCGATCACACAGACAGCAATTACTGGCTTTTGTAGTGAGTGACAAGCCCACTCAGGGCTTGGATTACAGCTTTCCAGAGCTTCTGCCAACGGCACCACTTGAAACACCAGTTTGGGCCTGATTTTATACATTTAGTAGCGTTTGGCAAGGGGAGGAATGAATGTGACTGAAAACCCTTCCGTGCTGCGATGGGGAAATGGGAAAACCGGGAAGCAACACACAGCACTTCCTGGGAAGCCAGAGAACCCCCCCCGATGCACAGGTAAAAGGAATACAAATAACACCCCCCCCATCCCAGCTCTTTTTGAAGCCATTTTTATACCATTTACTGCAGGGATAGGCTTGGACTGAGCATCCTCAGCCCAAACCCAACCCTGCCAGCAGCAGATGGAGACCCGCACCCGAGGAGCACGATACTCACGGTAGAGACAGCCGGCATCGCCTCCAAGCTGGGACCACCCTGGACAGCACTTGTACGTGGTCTGGTACATCACCTTGTAGACCTGCCTGTAGCCCGTGTAATAGCCAGTTCTGAAAGACAACAAACCCAGATTCCACCCGGACAACGTGAATTCCTGCGGAACACGGGAACGGGAAGGCTGTAACTCTACCTGCGGGTGCACACAGAGGCAGGAATTAGCTTTTCAAATGTGCTGACATTTTCCACCTGGTCTAGCAATGATCGCTGATGCCAAGGAAACACTTCTTAATGTGCTCCAATTGGGAAGAGGAGAGATGAGCAGCCGGGTCCTATAACACCCCTGACTCTTCTCCTTTGCTAAGCTATTTCACAGCTCCGAGCTCCTCTCAAACTACTCAGTTGTAAAGGAAATTTAAATGTTAAGGTAGTTCAGTCAGTTCTAGTGAGCAAAGGGGGTGTCTGAGCTAAAAAAGCATCGGAATCCTGATGGAGATATGAGAGACTATGAGGGTGTTGAGGCGCTGGCACAGGGTGCCCAGAGGAGCTGTGGCTGCCCCATCCCTGGCACTGTTCAAGGCCAGGTTGGAGCAAGCTGCTCTAGTGGAAGGTGTCCCTGCATGTGGCAGGGGTTGGAACCAGATGAGCTTTAAGGTGCCTTCAACCTAAACCATTCCCTGACTCTATGGCTCAAAAAGCTCATCACATAGTTGTGTTTTCCACAGCCAGGCTCGGCAGAGCCGGGACACCGCGCTCCACTGGGGGCTGAAGGTCTCTTTAATGCCTCCTTCCAGTGACTTCCAGGGTGGAATGTGGGGCAGGGAAGCAGGGATTGATCTGAAGCACAAATAAACAGACGTGACCCTTTCCCCTCCCCGGAAATTCGCTGTTTTGTCTCTGGGAAACCTGAAACAGGGACCACGTTTGAAGCTGATTCTCAAAAAGCTCCTTTGGCACAACATGAAACCGAGCGCACCAAAGCGAAGCGGACAAACAACAACAGCTCTTGGGTGCCGCAGATGTGTTGTACGTGTCCACTGGAAGCGTTTACCCCAGCTCAGTCTGGCTCTTTGGGTCTGGCTGGATGCTTGCAAACCACCCCCCCCACCCCCCAAAATCACAGCGAGCCATCAATCCCCATGCAGGAGCCCTGTGGCTGCTCTCCTGTGCCAGCCAGCACATGGAAGCACAGCTGACAAACAGGAGCAGATACCAATGCTTCCCTGGACGAGCTGTTAACAAATTCAGAAGGAAATAGTTGTGTCCCAGAAGCAGCTGAGAAAGCAATTTGCAGTCCCTCAGACACCAGAGCAACCAGCAATTGGGCTTGGGTCCAGCTGGACCCACATGGGACTCAGAGTGATCGCCCAGCCCAGCCCGTTATGGCAAACACGGCACCTTGGGAAACAGGAATGGACACAGTGGATGCCACAGGCTGGAAAACACCATTCTTCCCATGCATGGCAGTGAGCAGCCTGTTCCACAGCCCTGTGTAAGGTCAGAAATGAGCGCAGGACAGCTCAGGACTAACCCCAGGCTCTCTTCTGCTCCCTCCCACCCTCATCTCCACGAGCCTTTGGACACTTCACATCCCTAACTCGGCTCAAGTGGGTTCTCAAGGAGATGCAAATATTTTGCCAGGCTCAGCTGCCTGTGGGTATCCGGATGCTGCAGACTGGAGAGAACCGCAGAGATTCTTTATCTTCAGTGGTTCTGTTTTCCTTTGTGCTTTAAGGAGTCCCTGGCACAGAAAACATTGAACAACCCAGAACTAATGGAACCCAGGCTTGAAAATCCTGCTGCTGGTAAACCAGCATCCAGCCCCTCTGGGGCAGTGCTGCTGCTCCTCCAAGATGCATTACTGCAGGGGGAGCAAAGCTACCTCCTATCCTTACCTAATTCAGGAAGACTGCACAACCAGTAGGAAAACCATCCCATTCCCAGGAATAGCGGGATGTGCAGCCCAGGGGATGCGCTGGTCAGCTGCCAAGGAGCAGACAGGCAGGGCCCACATCCTGGGCTGGTGCAGAGCAAGGTTTGTGCTCACTTTCAGGTAGCATTGCAATCCCATACGTGCAAGTCCTCTGAAAGCAAATGCTCCTGGCTGCAGAATGCACAAACTCAATAGAAAACCACCTCCTGTCCCCAGCTCACCCCCCTACACTGCACTTGCAGGCACAGCAATGGGGCTGTGGCAGGGTCTGCAGCACCCTGAGCATGCCCATGGATTTTAGGACACTAACTACACATAGGACACAGCTCTAACACCTATGGATATGGCACATCAGCAACTGGTGCTGCTCCTTGCCAAGCAGCCGAGTTGGGCAGCAGCACCGAATGATGTGCCAGGGAAGGGAAGAGCAGATGCTGGATTTTCCTGGCTGCATCCATGTCCTCAAAGGCACCAGGAGCAGTTCCAGGCCAGCCCCGTGTGTGTCAGATCCTGAAGCTGTTAATGCGCTTCCTGCTCCCTGTGCTGCCAGAGCCAGGTCCAGCTGGAGCAGCTCCAGAGGGAGCATCCCTGGGAATGCTGAACCCGTGCTCTGCTGCCCTCGGCCGCTCAGCACAAGGGAGCTTGGCAGGAGATCTTCCACCTATTGGGATAAGCTCCCAGAAGAAGTTCAGAGGGAGGGGATGTGGGACAAAACCCTGCCTGGGGGAAGTTCTGCTCTTGTACTGCTAAGTTCTGCTCATAGTCCTTTTGCTGCCTCGCTTTTAGAATTCCTTGTGTGAAAGCCCCCATAGCACCTCCAGGCTTCACCTCTGTATTCCCACCAGGAACACAGGTTTAGCATAGGCTGTTCTGATCTTTATAATGAAGCACAACAGAGTTTTTTCACTTCAGTCCCTTGACTTACAGCCTCAAAACCAGACATGAAAGGACCAAAGGGGCATCTGGCTCTCAAGAGTTCCCAGCCTTTGAAGCAGGAGCAGACAGGGCGCCTCTCATTTCGAACATTAAACACGGCCAAAAGAGGGACTCTGTTTGCTCCTTCGGAACCACCACGCAGATATCATCACCACGGTAATTACCGGCAATTACAGGTTAGGAGGAATTCCTCAAGCCAAGGCTTTAAAGCTGTCTCTAGCCCAAGATGCCGCTTTGAAACTACTACCGTAATCAGTGCTTTGGGAAGGCTTGTAGCCGGCCGATGAGGGCGGAAGAGCAGGTGGAGCACAGAGAAGATCGGGCACAGCAGTTTGCCCACCGGGTAGGTAACAAAGGTCCATTACTTGTCCATTATTCGCACTGCTGCCATGCTCACAGCCCCTCCTGCCTGCTACGGCTCCTCTGAGGGCACCACGCAGTTAGTGAGGCTGGTCCCTGGGCCGGACCCCCCCCAGGGCACACGATGGGCTCCCCGTAACCCACAGCGCTGGGAAGGAAGAGCACGCACCTGCGCTCGTAGCCCGCGCACCGCCGCCGGGCGCCGCAGTCCGGCTTCCACACGTGGACGCTGCGGGTGAAGGCCTGGACACGCGGCTGCCGCTGCCCCACGATGAGCACCTCCGGCTCCGCGCAGACGTTCGGCCTGGACACAGAAGCAGTGGTGAGGGAGCTGCTTCCTGCGGGACAGGCTGTGCCGCGCACAGGACCTGCCTCCTCGTCTCACTAAATCAGTGCAGCCCAGGCACCCCCGAAGCACTGCGATGCCCTGCTGAGCAGCCTGTTACCAGTGAAGCACACGGGGCAGAAAGGGCACCGCTGTCTCTCAGCAGCATGTCTTTAGGCCTGAATGAATCGGTAAAACCGCACAGCGAACATCACAAACCCGTCCTTACAGATGGAAAATCTCCATTCCGTCCACTCTCGGCTAATGAAGAATGCATGTGCGCTCTTTGCACCTAGGGGACTGGTTTCCTGACTGTTTTCAATGCAAACGCCGACGACATCTGCATCTCCTGACTGTTTGGAAAACAAATTATCCTGCCGCTAGAAATGAGACACTGTTTTGTTAATAGTGCTTCAGATTAGAATTCAGTCCGCTTAGATGCTTTCTCACTCATTCAGAGCTAAGGGCTGTAAAACTAATGCCATTAAGTAAGTGAACTGAGGGAGCTCAGGGGGAAAATGAGGGAAGCACCACTTGCATTTCATTTCTGTCTAAACCTAATGCTCTTTCACCAAGATTTTAACTAAGAAAGAGGAGGGAAACCTTTGTCTCTGACTCGGTAAGTTATGAGCCATTCCTCACTTGGGATCATTCCTGTTGCTTCCAATCCTTTCGCACAAATACTTCCTATAGAAGAGGTCCCGCTCAATACCCTGGACGTTGAGAAGCACATGGGGCTGCTGCAGGGCACTCACTACCCCTGGCAGTGCCTGTGGGATGAGAGCACACCTCCTACTCCCCGGCATCGCTCCCCTCCTCACCCCACCGTGTGCCCACTGCCAAGCCGTGGCCTTGCCAAGCTCCACACACATCACTGCAGCAGCACAAGGGCTGCAGCGGAGCCGTTTCATGCCCCCAGGGGCACACAGGGACTGCTGTGAGCTGATGCTGGGGCGGGGGGGGCCACCTCTGAGCATCTGCTCATCCAAAACCAGGGCTGGAAGGATCCCCACGGACACGTCTGGCAGCAAAACCCTGCGGGTGTCATTTATTACAGAGAAGAAAGGGTCCTGTGTGCCCCAGAGAGTGGCTGTGTGTGCAGCGGTGCCCTGTGGGAAGGGACAGCACTTCCCAGGCGCTGCTGCTTTCTTTCCTCCAGTGCCTTGGCACACATCCCTAGGGGCTCATCCAAGAAGTTCCTAAAAGGAGTTGTCGAGGCAGGAGCACAAAGTTCTGACAAAGGGAGAGAAAGCATCTTCTTGTGGGACCTTTATCTGCTGAAAAGGGGCCCTTATCAATCAGGAAGTCAAAACCATCCGGAGAGCAGCTTGGAGCTGGCACACGGCGCGAGCGACGCCGCTTCGCTACCAAAGGGATTAGAGCAGCCCCCCTGCACGGGGAGATCATCTTCTGGCAGGGGACCAGATCCACAAGGAGGGTTTCCAAGGAAGCCAAAGGAGTAACACCCGACGGTAACTGTAAAGTGTAACTGAACAGAACGGGCTGCGTGCTGCTGCCGACAGCGAAAGGGGGAAGGACCATGCGTGAAGTGCCATAAACCCAGCAGGCCTGGGAGGAAAGGGCACAGCTTTCCCACTGCAGTCACCTCCTGCACTCCCACAATAGGCACCGTGGTTGCAAACAGCGTTACAGCAAGCAAAGGCTCTGCATTCTCAATGACTCTTCCCCTTTCTGTCCCGCTGGCAGCAGAGAAAGCAGCACAGGACCCCCCCCCCCCCCTCACTCTCCTGCTCTTCCCTTCCCCCTAGAGCTGGAAGTACCACATTTAGCTTCTGCTTTACACTTCCCTGCCCTACAACCTCCCCCCCCATCAAGGATGCTCTTATTGCTACTTACATATGGGGCTGGAGCTTGCTCCCAGAAGCAAGAGAGGACACTCGCAGGGCCAGGATGAACACCAGTGCTGCTGCATGAGACCCCATCGCACCCACAGTGCTTCCAATGCCTGGAAAACCTCGGAGCCCTCTCTCCTGTTCCTCAGAGGACACTCCTGCTCCCAGCTCATTGGTGTGCTCCTCTTCTAAAGGGAATGCTATAGGAGCACATGGGAGTTCTTGCACAGGGAGGGCATGTTCATCATTCCTGGATGCTTGCTCCTGCACCGGTCAGCTCAGCAAGTTCCCTGGGTCCATGGGAAGTGATTACAGCACAGGCTGTCACCGGGATGTCCCCCAAGCCAGACCTGTCTTCCGATGCTCATCTGCTCGCAGGGAAGGGCACAGAAGTGACTTTTCCTTCTGGCATTTGCTTCTTGACAGAGCCCAAAGAGCCGGTGGCTCACAGGACCCGGGCTCCCTCCAGCAGCGAAGCCTCATGTGGGTCTGGAGCCGGTTTGGAGTTGTGATCCGCTTCACAAGGCAATGTGAAAGTCAGCACCCGGGAAGAGAAAAGACTCTCCTGTGCATGGAGCATTCCAGCTCCCAGAGCAGGCAGAGAGCTCCTTTACCCCATCTGCATCCATGGAGCCATCCTCTGCTGCTGCCACAGCTCCCACCTTCCTCCGGAGAGGGGATGGAGTCCCGCACACACGGAGAGCAGCTTCCCTGCTTTCCAAGGCAGTAACTGAACTTCCCTCCTGCCTTCCCCTCTGCTCCCTCACATGCTCTCTTGTTTCTCCTCTTGCTGACAGCCACAAATCCCTCCCACCGGCCGTGTCCAACCCCGGAGAGGAGGGGGAGACCCTGCGGAACAGTAGCAGCGTGATTCGGGCTGGTTTCTCCAAGGCAGCTCTTTGCACTGCCTAAGGCCAACGCCGCGCACACCACCCCAACCCCCTTGTCCAGCAGCTCCAAGAATAACCCCCAGAGGCTGAATCTTCTCCTCTGTGCTCCAGCAGGTAACAAAAAGGATCAGTCCCCAAGGAATAAAGGCCATGAACCAGCCAAGGACACATCCGACCTGCGCTTAGTGCTGTTAACAGCCAGCTCTTGGGGTGGTGGGGAATGCACCAGGCAAAGAGGGACTTGGGGAACGAGGTGAGATTCCTGCCTGCCTTTTCCCCAGCAAATTCCCTGCTCCATAAGGAAACAGCACAAGCAGAGGCACTGGTAAGGATGTTGCTGGAGCTGGGTGACAGCCCACTGGCCCCTGTGAAGTAGAGAACAGGAGGAGAAGTGCCAAGCCCAGCGCTGAGCTGGTTCACTGCAGTTTCCTCTTCCAGAGAGCTGCCATGGGCATCAGCTGCCCGGCCTGGCAGAGGGCTCCTGCCATCCTTCCTTCCTTGTGTCCTGGACGGAGGGATGGACGGGTGCATGGCAGCCGGGACAGCAGGATGGGGAAGAGCAGAGCAGAGCAGGGATGCTGCACTACAGCTCTCCCACCTCAAGAACATGCAGCAACCTCTCCCCAGGGTGAGGGGGAATCAGTGCAGCTGCAGACCTGATCTATGGCACATACAGACCCTGTGAGAGCAGGAGGGGAAGGTCTGGGTGTTGCAGTGCCCACACCACACACGTATTTTGCCACCATTCCATCAGGACTTAATGCCACCAAGGAGCCGGGCCCAAGAGCTGGCAGCTCACAGAAGGAAGCAGGCAGCTCCTTTTTGCACCTCAACCCTTCCCAAGTCACAGGACTTGCACACATCCCCTGGGTCAGAGCAAAGCGTGGGTAAGAGGGGCTCATGCTTCCACTTAAAGTGAAGTATCTGCCAAGCAGAGCAGATGGGAAGACAACACCGTTCATTCTTCCTGGAGAAGAAAGGCAGCTCCATCAAGATGTTTTATAACGATGGGGAGAGCTCCGGGGTACAATAAATTCAGGCCTCCGCTTTCCTGTCCGGACGTTAAACGTCAGGACTCCTCTTACAGCAGGGAACGCCAGGACTGCTCCCAGGGACTTCCAGCACGCACTTCTGTGACCCAAGAGGCTTCTTCGCACTCGGCCGTCCTCGCTCTGGGTCCGGCCTTGGTGAATGCGGTACCTGGACGTGCAAGAGGTGGAAGCCCAGGGCCCTGCATGAGGCACGGCACAGACCCCGACCAGATGCCCACCGGCAGGAAGGGTCAGAGGGGTTTGTGCTCCTTGTGCTCGGAGGGAGCAAGCATAGAACAGGAGCGTGGCTCCCTCTCCAGGACACAGCCGGGGATGCGGATCCAGCCCCCCTCAGCACCCACGCTGTGCCTCAGGAAGCCATGCTGGCCACAGCGGGCAGGGCACAACTTACCAGGAGGGTCCGGGCTGGTCTGGCTGCAAGGGGCAGTGGCGTGGTCACCCCTCGGGCTGTGGCCATCCCTCGGCCACCACCATCCATCCCCTGGGCCACCACCATTCCCTGGGCCATGACCGCCCATCCCCTGGGTCTGCAGGGAGAAGAGGACGCTCTGATGCAAAGAGCTGCAGCGTTAAAGGTTTCCCAGCATTAAATTCAACCCTGTAACGCTTTTATAAGTCACCTTAAAGAAAGCCGCGACGCTCCCCATGTAAACAGGCTCCTGTGAGCACGGGCTGCAGCGAGCCCAACAGAGACCTCTTGTAGCACGTGTGAAAGGTGGGTATCTGCAACCCCAGCGCCCCTGAAGTCAATTTAGTGCGTTCCCAATTGGGTACCACATCTCAGCGCTGCGGAGGACGTCCCCCCTGCCTCCGGGTAAAGCAGCCCTGGGAAGCGCTCAGACAGAGCATGAAGAGGGATAGCACCTTCAGTAACGCCGGGGACCGCAGGGCAGATGCCAGCCTGCCCTCCATCCCCAGCGCTCTGGGCTGCAGGATGCGGTGGGGGCCGCGGGGCTCCGCAGGGTCCCGCAGGGCTCCGCAGGGCTCCGCAGGGTCCCGCAGGGTCCCGCAGGGCTCCGCAGGGTCCCGCAGGGTTCCACCGCCCTCCTGCGCTCCCCCCGGGGTACCGCGGGACCCGGCGCGCCCGGTCCCGGCTCGCTCCGGCAGCACGGCCGCTGCCCGCGCCGCTCACGCGCGCCCTTTGAGCTCCCCAGTCCCGCCCCCGGCGCGGGGCGGGCTCGGAAGGGGGGGTCCCGGTGCCGGTCCCGCCCCGGAAGGCACCGAGCGCCCGGGCCGGCCGCGATGCTGCAGCTCCGGGACGCGGCGGAGGGCGGCGAAGGGGACGGCGGCGGGGACGGGGGCAGCCCCGCGGCCGCGGTGCTGGTGCCGGGGGAGGCCGGGCCGCTGCTGCCGCCCCGGCAGACGCTGCGGCCGGTGTCGGTGCGCACCGCGACCCGCGGCGGCCGCCTGCGGGAGTACTTCGTGTTCCGGGTACGGCCGCGCCGCCGGGGCGGTGGGGGGGGAGCGGGGCGGAGCGGAGCGGCCCCCGCAGCCGGTAACGTGTCCCCCCCTTGCCCCGCAGCCCGGCACCATCGAGCAGGCGGTGAGCGAGATCCGCGCGGTCGTGCTGCCCGCCGAGGACGGGGAGGTGCAGAGCGTCTGGCTGCTGGCGGAGTGAGCGCTGCCCCTGCCCCAGCCCCAGCGCGGCCTTGCTTCCATCCCTGCACCCCCTGTGGCCTTCCCTCCATCCTGCCCCCCCAACCCGCACATCCCCGCTTTGCTCTGCTTTAACTGCTCCTGGTTACCTGCAGAACAAGCCCTGCAGGGGCTGAGGCTGGCTGCATCATGCTCCTATCCCCGTGCAGCCCAAACCCACCCAAGGGTGAGATGCAGACCCTGAGTTAACTTGTTCCAAAATCTTACGACCCTAAGAGTTAAAACATAATCTACTCCTGGGTTGCCCTGACATTGATACAGTATTATAGCTGTGATGGCTCAGCAGCAGGTAAAGGTGAAATCCATGAAATGTGAAGAAACAGACAAGGTTTTCTGTGTACAGGCTGTTCTTATAGAGGAAAAGGCTGTCAGACCACACAGGTAAAGGAAACTGTTTCTTTCCCCTGAGCATGCACCACTGCAGTTAATTCAGCCAGCATGGCAGCACACTAACGGCGTGGTGTTAAACACGCTCTAGTGCTGGTGAGGGCTCATCCGCCCTGTTTAAGGGGCATTTGCTCTCCAATAACACCTCCAAATCCTCAGACTTACTAAGAAAATCAGAGTATTCCCTCTGTTGTGACACTCCCCCTCCTGTCGGACTTGCTGACTCAAAGCAAAGGCCCTGATGGAATGGGTTCATTCTCCTTCGTGATTCTTCTGCCCATGACCAAGACCGCTAAAGCTCGGTCTTGTTGCCTGGCCAGGATCGATCACTGGAACAACGAGAAGGAGCGTCTGGTTCTCATCACAGACTGGTCCCTCCTCATCTGCAAATACAACTTCATCAGCCTGCAGTGCCAGCATGTGACGAGGATCGCCCTCAGCGCCGTCGATACCATCTCGGTTGGGCAGTTCGAGTTCCCCTCTAAGTCTCTGAACAAGTGAGTTGATGCAGTAACGCTGCAGTGTTGTTGTAACTCCTGTTGTCGCTGTGAGTAGTCAGAGCTGTCAAACCTTTGCTCCTAACTGCTGGCCATGGCTGAGAGCTCTCCTTTTGCTCACCTGACTTTGCAGACTATTGCTCAGCCTTACTATAAGACCTTGGAGTAGCTGCTATTTTGGTGGGGCAATCAGCACTTACATTAAAAGCAAGTTGCTCAAGGACTTTCAATGTAAGATGAGTAGATTTGGGAGCAGAAGTTCATTGCCATTAATGTTCAAGGCCAGGCTGGACAGGGTCTAGTGGAAGGTGTCCCTGCCTGTGGCAGGGTGTTGGAACTGGATGAGCTTTAAGGGCCTTTCCAACCCTAATTCTATGTAGTGCAGTAGTAGTACCACCTTAGCATTACTAGAAAGCCACGTGTAAATGTCAGGTCATACATCAACACAGGCTATTACAGGCAATGCAGTTCAGATGTTGGGTCCTGGGCATCTAACAAGCGTCACCTTCTTGCCCCTAGCTTATAAGAAGGTATCTTTGAATATTCCAGAGGCCAAATTCTTCTCTTACTGATCTAGAGGAAACACTTACTACCAAACTTGTATTTCAGCTTCCAGTTCTAAGCCTGTCTGTTTCAGACAGCATGTTTCCAGTTAAACTGACCTCAAAGAGTCCAGAGTCTTACCCTGTTACTTGTGTTGTCTTCAACATCAGGCGAGAAGGTCTCGGGATTCGAATTCAGTGGGACAAGCAGAGTCGTGCTTCCTTCATCAACAGATGGAACCCGTGGTCCACCAGCATCCCCTACGTCACCTTCACCGAGCACCCCATGGCAGACGCTGATGAGAAGGTGGCCTCCCTTTGCCTGGTAAGGAACTGGCCTCCCCTGCTCTAGGTGGGCTGTTGAGCTCCTAGGCTGGGCATGACTTGGATGATTTTGGAAAGATACAGCAGTTAGATGGAAGCAGTTAAGGCAAAGAGATGGATCCTTCTCTGACTTACCCCACAGGCTGATGCCTGATGACTTCTAGGACTGCCAGCTAAATAAACACTTTAATTGCTGACTGCAAACCTTCACTTAGGTGGTTCTCCATTTTACTTGCAATAGTTGCTTTCCCTTAAAACCAGAACACCATAGTAATGTATGTTCAGCACGTCAGTGATAAGGGCGATCAGAAAGAAACAGCATTAAGCCACTGGTAAATCTTTACACATCTAGGCCATGCATTTCAGTTACACATAAATAGTGTCCTGGTATTAACTGTATCATGAAGGTTAAATGTCAGAACATAAAGTTTATCATGGCATGGAAGATACATGATGACAGCAGTGGCATTCAGCCCTTACAAGTCAATGCAAAGGCTGATGAACGCTAGCTGTTTATCCAGCAATCTTTAAAACAAAGGAAGAACACCAAGATGACTTTTTTCTTTCAGCTGGAGAACTTCAAAACTCAGCTCATCCAGGCTGTGAAGAAAGCCCAGAAGGAGTCTCCGTTGCCAGGAAGGGCAAATGGTGTGCTTGTGCTGGAGCGTCCTCTGCTGATCGAGACCTACCTGGGATTGATGTCCTTCATCAACAACGAGGCCAAACTCGGCTACTCAATGACAAGAGGCAAAATTGGATTTTGAAACTCATTGTGGGGCATCTTTTCAAGGGCAAGTGATTTGGTATGGGGCTGGGGAGAGCAGCAAAACATCAGATAAAGTGAGGAAGTCGGGGGAGCACGAGGAGGGTGGAGAACTGGAGGTTCACAGGAGGCCTGAGTTGTTCTGAGAACACACAGGCCAGGTTAATCTGACACAAGTAGTGTCACTCATACTGTGTATTGGATTTACACAAGGCTAGCTAGCAGCAGTTACTTTTCATTTCTAACTACATGTTCTTCTAACTAAATGTTAATTAAGGGCAATGGGAATCTGCTACAGCCACTCTGCACAATTTCCAAGACACAGCAAGCCATTCATGCCCTGTTGCAGCTGTCTCCCTGTGCGTGGTGTCAAACACTGCAGTGTGCTTGGGCTTCATTCACATTGTTTAAAGAGGTGGCAGCGGTCACAGTTCAGGTACCTTAGCGCTTAGATTAAGGCCTGTGAAGTCATTCTGTAGCTAACCAGTCAGCTAAGTGTTAAACACCCCTGTTGCATCTGCTCAGAAACAGTCCAAATGAGCTATGCTTGAATAGGACTTTATTGGCTTCCTAACTTCTTGTGTGTGTGTGTGCTTGCTGTAGCCACAGAATAAAGACTTTATGGAGAGAATATTGCCAAAAGCCCTTGCCAACACATCTGCCTTCAATGCTATTATTTATAAAACTGAAAAGGAATCCTATTTTGATTAGATTTATATTCTTAGCAGTTTTTCTTAAATCAAGTCTAGGAGAACAGCAGGGCAGGACTCATCCTGGAGCCCAGTAAAACTTTGGTGCCAACCTTGATTTACACTTCACCTTATACAGACGTCCAGTAATGAAATGCAGAAGCAGCATAAGAGACTGCAACAGCAATTGTGCCCAAGGTTACTCTGACCACCTCTTTCATTGCGTGTGACCTTCTAGGTGTGCTGTTTATCAGAGCATTTCTCTGCACAACTGCAATGCTGAATAAATGCTGTGCTGCAGTGGTAGATTTTGGACTAAGATGTGCTTTTTATGAAGCCTCTGTAAAGCTGAAATCATGATGGAATGCAACAAGCTGCATGCCCCTCAATTCATTTTCTATGATACCTGTTTAATTATAATTAATCTTGCAGTAAAGTTAAATTTTAACTCAATTTGTTTGTTTCTCTTCATTGTGGGGAGACTGAGGCTGTGAAATTAAGTAGCAATTCAAAAACATCCAGTGAATTCCTCAGCAGTGGGCTCCCTTCCTCTGATGGACCCAACAGCCAGCTACATGGGTTACAGAGATAGGACAGACCAACTGCTCCTTCCCTGACCACCCACCCACTCCTATCTGGCATTAGGCAGTTGGGTCAAAAGCTCCCATTTCAACTGGCTTTAGTGCATCATTCTAAAGTACCAGCTATGATCCTTCTTATAAAGATTTAGTAAATCTATAGTAGACCAGGTGCAATTACTGTCACCTGTTAATACCTTAGTCTGGAAATTACTGCAATGACTAGAGAGGACTTGATTTGCTTCTGAACACAGAACTTGTACTGCTTTAACACTGACTGATTCCCTAGAAAGTGTCATCCTGGTGTATCTACTTCTGCTACAATATTTAGTTCTAATACACCAGAAAGATCTTGTTGTCTTACCAGCCTGGATACATTGGTGTGTGCAAGTAACTGTCTTCTTGCGCTCAGGTTAATCACCTCACCAATAACAGAGAAACAGACTTCAGAATGGAGTTAGAGCCATTGCAAGTTTGTAACTATCAAAGCATTTATTGGAAATTATAAAATTTAAATAGCTATACATTATATACACACAGCTAGTTTTAGAAAAAAAGGTTTCATAGTTGATAAAGTCCAAGAGAAAGTTCAAAGTACTACAGTTTTCTTGCAATCCAGGTCTCATTCTCTACACACAGTTGCTACATCACTTCATTCAATCACAGTACTTCACACACTGGAGTTTGGGGTAGGCTTCTTCAATAAATAATCCATAAATACAAGAACTTCACACTGGGCAAAAAGGCTTGGCCCCTGTCCTCATTCCTCCTCAAACTCGTGAGCAGTTTTATGCAAAGGGTTGTTACTTTACCTCTTCTCTTTCCAAGTAACAGACACAAAAGTTGTCCTTACTCAGGAGCACCATGGAGTCTCCACTGGAATGCCAGGACAGAGACACGATTGGGAAGTCACCTGCAGAAACGGATCAGACCGATAACTGGGAGTACATTTAGTACATAAAGCTGCTGATGGCTTGTGAAGTTCCCACAGACCTTACCTTCCACTGGGACCTGCACAGACACACAGCCGGCTGGGGACCACAAGTAGACATTACTATTCCCTGTGCATACAGCAAGGCGGGGTTGTCGGGGGTCCCACTGGAAGCACTGGATGGCACACAGCTGCTCTAGGACTACAGACAGCTTCAGCTTTTGAATATCCCAGATCCAGACAGCGTTAGGAATGTTATCTGTTGGAAAAGGAAGAGGTAATCATGTCAATACCTGAAGGAGAAAAAAAGTAGTGTGATCTTTTTACAACATGGGCACTACTGATGTCAAACACAACACAAACCCTTTGGGTACACCATGGGTGTAACACCACTAGAGTTTTGCCCAGCACTGCCTTCAATTTTGCCTTGGAAATACTGCAAAAAGGATAAAAAGTGACTTAGTTTGTTTTCCAGAACCACAGCTTCTGTGACACAGACACAGGCAGCCCTTTAGGAGCAGAGAAGGGAAAAGATTAAAGTTAAATCCATGACTCTCACCATTTGAGGTAATCAACTCCCCCACTACAGGTTATGAAGAATTCTACCTTTCAATAAACACTTGCTGTAAATGGAGGAGGAAACCTGAACCTTTCATTTTCTAATACAGCAAACTCACCTACATTTGTAGAGATATAAAAAGCATCCTACTCATTAAATACAAAGCCAAGGCCAAGTTAATGCACTGATGAGCAGCTCTGGCAGCTCACAACACTTTATGTACACTATAAGACATAGGCTGAACTTCCTCTGTAGTTGCATGTTTGCACAGCAGAGCTGATTTTAAACCCCACATGCAGTGAGCAAGTTCTCTCTCCAGTGTAGGGCAGCAGGAACTCACCATTTTTGGTAGCCAGGAAGCAGTTATCCGGACTGAACGCCAACATCCCGATGCCCATTTTGGGATTTGCCCGGTCAGAAGCTGGTTTGACATAGTGCAAGGAGAGTGGCACCTCAGAAATGGCATCTGGAATTTGAAAGAGAAGTAATCAAGCCTGAATGGACAAAATATTTACATGCCAACTGTTAAACACCCCTTATTTCTGAGATGACAGGGCTGTATTTCACTCATCTCCAAGATGTCCCTATCAAAAAGCTTCCACTGTCTTAAGACAGTGCATCTTCACATACACAGCTCACTGTTCTTGCCCTTCTATAAGGCTGGAAATCCAGGCAAGCCTGGGATTAAGCTACCAAAAAAACAAAAACAAAAACCAGGGGATCAAGTTCACTGCTCTTTCAAACACCAATGCAAACCACAGGTGATTTACAGCACTGCAAACAGTGAATAAGGAAGTCATCCGTTGCCTTCTACAGTATCCTACTGGTCTTTAACATGCCAGCAAACCAGCCTGCAGACAGCAGCCCCTCTGGCAGTGTGCAGCACTGATTCACTGCCCTTCAGAGCACCCACTGGAGCCATTCAGTACCAAAGGGGCAGAGTTCACCTATAGCTATTACTCCTAGAAAGACTTCACGTGGCAAACTCAAGCATCTCGTAGTAAACTTTGGCTTACATTTACTTTGTGTGCTGAAGAGAGAACTAGCCAATGCTCTTGTTGGAGGGAAAGAAAGTCTCTCTGTTTCAACAGATGGGGATTTCTCCACTTCTTTATACACAATCTACAAAGAAACAAGTGAGAGTTCTACAGAAGGGCCTCAGAGAATTTGAACACGGGCTATTACCAAACCATTCATATCCCATTATCTCATTTGTAAGCATGTTGTGTCTCAGCATCCCCTGGTTCACCACCAGGGCTTCAGTAGGCAAATACCAAACTCAGTGAATCATCTGCTGTTTGGAACCACGATCAGGAAAACACTCCTGTGATATATAAATGAACCTTGAAGTCTATGAAGAGCGAGTCTGCCAGAGCACACCTCATCTGTTATTCCCAAGAGCTAAAATCTGGCAGCACAATAAATCACCTCCATTACAATGGGAACATCAGTTTCATTTCTGCAACAAAGACTCTTAATTGGATACTACCATAAAAAATGCAAAGCACAACACTGCAGGAGGGAATAGCAAAGATATTTTAATAGTCTGCCTACTACATATTATTTCCAAACACAAGCACCGGGATAAAATGCACCAACTGCAGTTCCTGTCCGTGTAGCAGAGATTAACAGAGCTATTCCCATTTGCTTTCCATTACATGTTTTACAGCTAGCTGGAAGTAAGGGCATTTTTGAGTCGTGAGAAGTTTTGCTGAGGTGCATTCAGTGGATCACGCCTCACTTCTGGTTAGAGGCATCACTGGAGTCATGGGAATACTGCAGACTTCCAGTCTGCACACGTGAAGTCTCCCAGGATATCTGTCCAGACACAAGCCCGGTCTCCCTCTGCAGCAGCACGCAGCACTACTACACTGTGTTCTTTTTACCTTGATGGATGGGAACAGTTTGTGATTTTTGGAACAAAAGCCACAGCTCTCTGCCTGCTGCCAACTGCCCAGAATCTGTTGGGCCCTGCACATACAGGTATGCAATGGTAAAAATAAACCCTGACAGATGTTTACAGGAAATGCTCTTTAGGTGAGCTACAGGAGCCTGTACACACAAGATGTAGATCTGACCACAATCCAGGTCCAATGCTGTTTAAAGTCATGAACTGTACAAAGCTGAGACAAATCTCTCCTGTTGTTTCCCTGTTTGCCATACTCTGCACACCCACATCTGTAATGCAATCCCCATCTACATCAAAATACACTGGCATGTGACAAAGCACCTGAGAATCTGTGAGTCCCAAAGCTGAGGGGATCATACACACAGTCTCCAAACTTGAAAGGATTCCTTTCTTACATCCCCAAATTTTAATGGGATTTTCCAAGCCCTTTACACATTAGAAGGGGAAAAGCAAGGTCTCCAGAACAAAATCTCTGGGATACAAACAACAGCATCAAAGCACTGCCAATGACTCAGTGGATTCCAGATCCATACTTACAGTCTTTGTGCTCACAACAGTTGCTGGATGCTCAAACTCTGTGATCTTCTTCCAAGTTACATGGTTCAAGATACGCACCTAGTTGTGGAAAGCATTGCAAGATAGAACCAGTATGACAAAGTTCTACAAATGGTTCAGGTAAGAGAGAAGGTAAACTTAGTTCTTACCTTTTCATCATAGCTGCCAATTGCCAGAAATTGACTGCTGGGACTCCAGGCCACTGATTTAATGCCAAGCGACCATTCATAAGCCCGATACGTGGACAGCAGTCTGCCATCGAGGGAGTACAGCAGTATTTTATACTGAAACAGAAATGGATTATTCTAAAGACTAACAATATTGTTTAAAGTCATAGGCAGCCAAAACTATTCCTTCCAAACTTTCCTCACTAAAAGGCAGCAAATTAAATACAAAGGGGCTGGCCTTTTAACTGTGATTTGACACAAGAGGCTTGAGGCTTCCAGTTTGGCTCTTCTGGCTCTCTCAGACCACAGCCACGTTGTCTCCAAGAGCACAAATGCCCCACTGAGCCAGAGCAGTGGCCCCTCCAGCCCACCACTCTCCAACAACACCAGCAGGTGACACTATGGAAGACCCTCATCCTCCTTCAGCATCTGCCAGCCCTCCAATCCAGGCTGTTCCAACCCTGCCCATTCCCAGGGCTGTTTTGATCACACAGCCCATAAAATCATGGCCACCAGAGGCCGTTTTTCTATACCTAGATATTCACCTACTCAGAGCAGAATGACAGCAACTTAGATATTCCTTGCTAAATTTTGGGGTCAGTATTTAACTGTAAAACTACTGTGCAATGCAAAGTACAACAGTAGGAACCTCACAGCAGAATTCCTTTATTATTTCAGTAACAGCTTCTGCACCACTTACAATCAATTTTTTTCAAGCTAAATCAGAAAGCCAATAAGATAATTTGCTGTCATT